GGTGAAAAAGTCAGTACTTACATTGAATGGAGCCACATAAGTGCTCTCCACAGCGGTCCTCAATAGTCCCCATTCAGTTTATCATTGTCGCATGCTATTCGGAATCACACTGAGAGCCCTAAGAGTGTCGCGAAAAAACCGTTTATTTTTTTGTATCTGAAAATTGATTTCCGGAGAACACTCGAACCAACCAAAGGAGTACCTACTTCAGCTAACACAATAATATACTTAAAAGACGGAACTTTGAACGAGCATTTATCAATAGACAAGTCTGTGGAGCGCCGATTAATTATTTCATCTGTAAGCGCGGATTAACATTCACGGAACATTACAAGTACGAGAGGCTTAACGATGCCGAAACCAAAATTAGTGCGAATTAGCTTTATGACTCTAAGTTATATGGCTTAAAGCCCACAGAGTGGCTAATTTACGTCGATAGAGCAAAAAGTCTCGCGGGAGTTGAATGAGTGTTGTAGTTTTTGCCGCAGAAACTTTCGGTGAAGATGAATAGCGCGCGCTTAACGTTTAGCCGGAGCCGTTTCATGATGTTTGCACATCTGGTGTCCGCCTTCAGGCGCACGTAAAAACCAACTTTTTTATGTGCTTAAGTAAAATATCCTTATAATTTCAGCGTCTACTAGGAAACCATAAGTTCGAAGGGTTGAAAGTTTGTAACTCATTATTAAAGTAGAGAAACCGGTGCGTGTGGGAGGTGTTGGTAAACTCCTTAAATGTCTAATAATTAAACGGGTTGTCGTGTTATGAGCCCCTGGTGAGTGTTACCCTGTATGGGATAACGGGCTGATATTGTCGTTATAACAACAAGATAACAATCGGCTGAGAGGAAAGCCTGGTACTAAGGGACAGGGATTATTACTCGCGAAGACACGACGTGGAGCAAGCTTGGCTTACTGGAAATAATTAACGACCGACATTGTACTTAAATACATGTCGCTAGTTAGACTATGTAAATAATGAAATATTGGCGGTTGGGTTATTAAGCATTACTGTGTTCAATAATAACAGACTCTAGCATAGCATACACACTCAAATAAGACTATGACTAAATGTGTAAAAAAATAGTAAATTGACGATTTCATAAAATATAGTAATTCGACACTAAATAATACATACTTGTAATATCGTATCGTTAGATTTTGCAAATATCGTTTAATGAGTAAAATCTAAAAACTAACTCACCGTACGGTTAGTCTAACTAGTTGAAAAACTTGTGCAAAGTTGTAATATAGTTAATTTCTTTAATTATAATTAAACAAAGAGTTTACGGAAGTCTTCAGGTGGACCGTCGCGTCGCGTCGCGTCGCAGCACGGGCGCCATTTTTAACACAATTTCCAAAGTTTTGGAGACATCTGGGTATTAAAAGGGGAATAACAAAGAGTTTAAGATGTACCGGTCACAGTTGAGGACTGATTCTTTAAGTTTGGAGTAAAAGTTTGCTATCCAATGAAAAGACGTTGGTCAAGTAGCCGGAGTCTGGAGAGTAATTAGAATATCGCCGGAGTTCACAAGTCACTGGCTCGCTGCACCGTGGAAGGTAATTATTGAGTTTGCGTCTCGGCGCGGTCACTTCTCCTGGGCATACTGTGTCTAGATTTCAAGATTTGTAACCGGTTGATTTGACACGGATAATTAACTTAAAAAGTGTTTTTCTCTTTTATTGTTTCTATAACTTAGGATAATGTTTGCAGTAAATTAAGAGATGAACCTATAAAACCTTTAAGTAATTAAATTTTTCACTCACAGTAGAAACATAAAATACCTTTGTTTAAACAAGTTTAACAACCAGTAAGGCCGAGGTCGGTCTTTGCGAACTTATTTCAGTTTCCAGCATCTGATGGGTGCCTCGAGGGTGTAATATATTAGGAGCACTCCTATTTACCGGCCGCTACTGGAAATGCTCCCTTGGCGAATATATCCTGAACATTTCTTGCAGCCTCATGTAATTAAATGACCTTGGAAATTCCTTGAATACATTATTTTTAAATTTATTCAGGGAAAACGTCAGTGTTCCGATAATAGTGTTTGTATCAAATACAGGACACTATATAAACGTGAATGTCATGTGTCATTTAGGAATACAAGTCGAAAGACTGCTTATGTCAGGCGCAGCCTACGATGTGTGGTCAGCACATCACCCTCGCAAGCCACTCCAACATGTATTGCTGTTCCTGTTTCTGTCTTGTCATCATGATCGGATATGTTTGTATACGCATTTGCTGCGGTCTACAGATTGACCATCAATAACATGGGAACATCACCACCCTCAGAGTACGCCTCACATCCTTAAATATGTACCCCATCGTCACTCAAACTGACTGTCTACATATCAAGCGTGCCCTGTTAACTGAATGTGAAAATTATATCCAACAAACTGGGTGTTCATAGCAATTAACACTAAGCAGAACTAACTAATGCAATCATCAAATCAAAGAGACGGTTCACAAGTAGTCACGAAATTAATTATATATTTAATAGAAGTTCAGCAAAACTGTCGTATCTCGGCGACCCAAATCATAAACAGATAGACAAGTGGGCAAATAAAGTGGCTCGGGTGTCCTGAACAAAAGGGAGGTAGCTGCCCTTAGCGCCACTCTCGACAGATATTATGAGACCTTCATTATTAACGACAACGCAGAATTTACTCCGCAGATTTCGACCCTCCACTATTGCCGTAATCTCAGTAAAATACCGACTCTTGTTTATGAGTTTCTGGTACCTCCACCGGATTGTATAATGTCTTTGTCTGTTATCATATTAACGACGGAAATAAGTGCCATGTTACCCGTTTACTTACTTTGTTTTCTTTTCTTTTCATCTATAAATCAAGATTTCTATGTAGCTTTACGCTTTCCAAACATTCCTTCAATAGATTTACTGAACTACATAACAATTTCATACGTAAAGTTAACTTTACGAGTATTATGATATACAACGATAATAGAGAAGAATAGAATATCCTAGCTCTATGTTCTATTGTATACTCGTCAAAGTAAACATGATAACAAAACGTAAACTTCGCCATTTAAATATGTGTGAATCAGTAAGTTACCTCTAAGGCGTCTGGGGGATGGGTTTGTTTCCATTAAAATTTTTGAAGTAACATTATCATAGAATAAAGAACACGGGGGTACACATACACATATTAAACATATCAAAATCGGTTTAATAATAACGTTAAATCAAGTCACAGGGATTCAATCAATTACACCCGCCAAAACCGTTTAATAATAATTGCTCATGAAAATTGAGCGCGCTCGGTTAAATGTGTCGAGTCACGAGCACAGATCACATGATAAATTAACTTTAATGTTAAATAAAGATTTTGGGCCACGAGTGATTCTATTTATAGAGGAGATATTGATGTTACCAATCAATATTTACTACCAATATCTTGTTGGATGTAATAGTACAGATACCTGAAGGGATGCGACCCAGATATCAAAGTTGTCGATGGTATTTATCTGATTTAGGGTCGATTTGTCAATCAACAGATAATTGTTCATTGTATAAGTGTACAGTAAAATTGACATTTGACACTATTTAGTTTGGTATGTAAATACAATAATAAAAAAATGGTTATGAAAGAGTGTCCCCACATTGCAATTTAGTTGTGCGTCAGTATATTAGGGCAGCAGAAGCTGGCCAGGGTCAATAGTAGGCGGGCGGGACAGCTCCAACAATGGCGTTAAATCGCGCCGAGAGAATTAGTTCGAGAGGCCGCACGTCCCGGCCACTTTGTTGCAATTTGCGGCAATTTACTGCTACTATTTTGTAACTAGGCTCGCAGGAAACTTCATAAAAGCTGTTTTAAGTCGTACAATAATGCAGGTACTTACAAACTACACCACTTACTTCGACCACTTCAATTTTATTAATAAATCCAATTCCATCTAAATGTTAACTTGAACAAGAGTTAAACTTCTCCGCTCATTGTGTTGGAGGCAAGGGGCCTTCAATCTTACACAAACCCTGATTGTGGAGTAATGTTTTTCTGAGATTTTTCCTCAGTGAATACCTAATGAAATAGAATATGTATGAGGGATTTACGCTAAAAAGCTAATCTGCTAGAGTCGTTGTTCAAATTAGCGCGAAGTAAAAAGGCATACTACATTGTCTCGACAAATTACTGGAATATTGTGTATTTTCTGTAAATTGTGTGTTGTGTGAGAAGAAAAAAATGTTTGAACGATAGTACAGGTGGTTTCCGGTGTCGTTTCCGGTGTCGTAAAGACAGGACGTGTTGTCATTGCTCTCAAGTAAATAATCCCACTTAATTGCTATAATCCATAAAAAGTACTGAAAATACAAATAACCTAGTAGAAAGTGTTTTAACAATCGGTGAACTGGCGAATACAAGCATAGTGAGCACGCAAAATAGCAAGAAAACATTGAGTTCGACATTAGAACCGTCGGAAATAATTCAAAATCCGAAGGTAAATTAAAATAACTCGGTTTGATGCTGACAGATTAATGCCAATAGAGAAAACAAACTAAAGAGGGACCACAGACTACATAACACTGGTGAGTGCTGTCAGAGCAGTATCGGTGTTGCCAACTTCAGACCAGGGTTGGCAGTTTTAGGCCGGTGTTGCCAGCTTCAAACCTGTGTTGCCGGATTCAAGCCAGTGTTGCCGGCTTCAAACCTGTGTTGCCGGATTCAAGCCAGTGTTGCCTGATTCGAACCAGTGTTGCCGGCCTCGGGCTTGTGCTGCCAGTTTCGCACATTTATTTAAATTGTAAACAAAAAAAATAAAAAAATAAACAAAAACATCGTCTACACAATACACAAAAAAAAAAAAAAAAACAATATGGAACAACAAATGGAAATATTTTGGAAAAAACTAAAACAAGAAATGTCAGTGCAAACGCGAGAGATTACTGAAGCTGTCACTAAAAAGTATCTGAGAATATTAATGAAAAATTAACAGCACTTGTGGAGGAAAATAATAACTTGAAAATTGAAATCCAAAACTTAAAAATGAAAATGCAGTTACAGGATGATCACAAAAGAGAAAATAATGTCATCTTCTTTGGTATGAAAGAGGAACAGCGTACCGAATCCACCATCGAATCCATCACAAACCTGTTAGAAAATATCATGAATATTCACATCAACCCTCAAGAAATAAACAAAGCCTACCGATTGGGGGCAAGAAACGATAACAAACCGCGCCCAATCCTTGTCAATTTCACCACAAACTGGAGAAGAAATGAAATCCTGAAAAACAAAAAGAAACTAAGCCAAGAAATCTATGTTAAAGAAGATCTTAACAAAGAGACATTGCAGAAAAGGAAGGAGCTTCTTCCTCAGCTACAGAAGGAGAGAGCCAAAGGAAACATCTGCTACTTCGTCAAAGACAAAATCATCATCAAAGAGGCGCAAGACGGCAAAAGGGATAAGAGGAAAAGAGACTGCAGTACTTCACCTAACAACCAAGCTGCATTGGCCCCCAAAAAGATAAACAAAGCTAATAGTATGCTTAACTATATGGTGCGGGGCAGGTCTGAGTCCTTGTCAACACCTTCAACTACAAAAAACGACCATTAGACATAGAGAACGGAGAAACAAAACCAACTAAAACATGCGCACCCAAGAAAACAACCTACAAATGCACCCCAAGACGGCTGGTCACCGTGGGGAAAGAAGACCGCTACCCTCCAAATATCAACCCTTCACCCCCAACGATTGAATCTGGAACCAAAAAACAGCACCACCTATACATAGCAACATATAATACACTCTCTCTAAGAACGGAAGAAAGCCTACAGGAGCTCCTATATTCTATAAGGAATATAAAGTGGGATATTGTCGGCTTGAGCGAAGTAAGGAGACTCGGAGAAGCTATTGAAGAACACGACCAATTCATTCTATACTATAAAGGTGAAACACCAGGAAGACATGGAGTGGGATTTCTAATAAGGAAAAAACTCAAACCTTACATTAATGAAATAATCGGTGTATCCGAAAGGATTGCTATTTTGAACTTAAAGATACTCCCAAACAAAGAAACATGGTCCATAGTGCAAGTCTACTCACCAACGGAACAATCTTCGAATTTAGAAATTGAAACATTCTATAAAGCCCTTAAAACTGCGATAAAAGAACACGCACAGAAAAACTATATCGTTATGGGTGATTTCAATGCGAAAGCTGGAGCACCAAGAAACGGAGAGGAAATTGTCCTGGGTTCACACAGCAACGGAAAAAGGACAAGGAACGGACAAATGCTAATAGAAATGGCATTTGAGACCAACATGAAAATACTAAATAGTCAATTCAAGAAGAGAACCTCTAATAGATGGACATGGATATCACCAGATGGAAAATATAGAAACGAGATAGATTACATCCTAACTAACAGGCCCAAACTTTTTGACGACTGTGGCACAATCGCAAATCTAAATTACAACAGCAATCATAGAATGCTTAGAACATGTCTGAATATATCATCTGCTCTAAAATCAAACCGACCTTTCAAAGCAAAAACAGCATTACCACACATCAAAGTAAAAGTAGCCACCGTAAAGGAGAATCTCACCTCAGTGACAATATGTTCTCTTAAAAACTTAAACACCCAACAAAAATATAACGCAATACATGAAATATTAACAACAGGACATAAAACACATATTGAGGACGTACCTAAAAATAACAAAAATATATCAGAAACCACAAGAAAATTACTAGAAAAAAGATCAGAACTAATTAAACTAACAAATAAAACAAAAAATATCAGAGCCGAAATAGGAGAACTGAGTAAACAAATAAAACTACAAATACGTAAAGATAGAGAACACAATAGACTTGAAACCTTCGAAAAGTTCATCAAGAATACAGGGGGAATCAAAAAGGCCGTTAAAGTTTTGTCAGATAAAACCAACTGGATAGCTAATGTGAAAAACCGACATGGTAAGACTACAACCAAGAGGGTTGATATCCTATCAATAGCTACAAACTTCTATAAAGACCTGTATTCCAGCAAGAACTTTATGGATAATACTGAACTAAACAACCACGAAGAAGTCCCACTCATACTAGAAGAAGAAGTACATAAGGCAATCAAAACACAAAAAACCGACAAAGCTCCCGGCCCCGACCAGATCGACAATGAATTACTTTTGGTTGGCAGAAATTACATTACACCATTGCTAACATATATTTTCAATGAAATTCTGAACACTGAATCAATTCCGTCACAGTGGACCTCTTCAACCGTCATTCTGCTCCACAAAAAGGGGACAAGGCTGAAATAAATAACTACAGGCCCATTAGTCTAATGTCAAACGTTTATAAAGTCTTCGCCAAAATATATTAGCCAGAATAACAAGAACACTAGACGAGAACCAGCCAAGAGAACAGGCGGGCTTCAGGGCAGGTTATTCAACCTTAGACCATATACATACAGTGAGACAAGTAATTGAGAAGAGTAGAGAGTTTAATGTGTCGCTGTACTGTTGTTTTATCGACTATAACAAGGCATTCGACACAATTGAGCACGAGAATATCTGGTACTGTCTTAAAAACCAAGGGGTCGAACAAAAGTATATAAGAATAATTAAAAACGTATATACCAACAGTACAGCTAAAATCAAGTTGGAAAAGGAAGGGAAGGAAATAAAAATAAACAGGGGGGTGAGACAAGGAGACCCATTGTCACCTAAATTATTCACAGCCGTTTTAGAAGGTATATTCCGGCAGTTAAGTTGGAATAACTACGGTCTAAATATAAACGGAGAAAGACTGTCACACTTGCGATTTGCTGATGACATTGTATTATTCGCAGAAACAAGGGAACAGCTACAAGTTATGATTCTGGACTTGGAAAGAGAAAGCCGCAAGGTAGGCCTAACGATGAACACTTCCAAAACAAAAGCTCTAACGAATGCAGCTGAAGAGTCAATCATCATTAACGGCGTACCAATCGAGTATGTCAAAGAATATATACTTAGGCCAAAAAATTTCAATGAGTGATATAATGTCAAAAGAAATTGATACAAGAGTTGGAAACGCATGGAGATGTTACTGGCGACTAAAAGAGATAATGAAGAACAAAGAAATCAAGATGTCTGTCAAATCAAAACTTTACAATACCTGCGTACTACCTGTCCTAACCTATGGCTGCCAAACCTGGGCTCTCACTAAAGCGCTAACCAATAAACTGGAAACTTGCCAGACAGCGATGGAGAGAAGCATGCTAAATTTGAGGAAATCGGACAGAGTACGTAACAAAACCATCAGAAACCGCACTAAAATACAAAATGTCACAACTAGAGTACGGAAACTTAAATGGCAATGGACGGGGCATATGATTAGAGGCATCGCAAAGTGGAACCGAAACATAGTGTATTGGTATCCTAGAGACAAGAAAAGAAAACGTGGCCGACAGATTAGAAGGTGGGAAGACGAAATAAAGGCGACAGCGGGAAAAACATGGACAAGAAAAGCTCTAAATCGAGCAGAATGGAAAAAAATGGAGGAGGCCTTTGCCAAAGCTGGGCAAACAGATGAAGATGTCAATGCCATCAATTAAGCTGAGACGTTAAATTAAGTCCAGTTTGTAAAATTGTTCTGTTGCTCTTATCTTTATCTGAATAAAGGCTTTATTATTATTATTATTATTATACAGGTGGTTTCAGCATTTTTATTTAGTTAAAGTAACAAATATTGTAGTTGATCCAAATAAAACACTAATTCTTAGCCTGATGAAAGACTACTGGAGTAAAGGTGTTTATAAAAGTTAAGTAAGTCACTGCGCAAAGGTAAATCCGTAAATTAGTTACGATCGGCAATTAGTGTATCGTCCATGGAACTAAGTGCAAAGAGTTGTTTGCTACTTCAAAGCCGATCTGGATCCGGTCTCGAACGTATAATCTCGGCCAATGAGAGGGGATTTACGATAATTTAATTTGGGGAGCAACTGCCACACTGTATGAGCTCCTGGTAACATATATTATGTTTCATTAGCACCAGGTGTTCACACCACAGCGCACAGGTCGCTGGATTAATACGTGGAAATCACACAGGTCCGGAGAGTTTGCACGACTCCTTGCTTCACTTATTGGACATGTGATTGAAAACCAGTCGTGTTATCATTGCTTTCTTTGGTAAAATTAATCGTACTGAATTAAAAATGCTTACGAATGATGATGAAGTACTAAGTAATTAATTTTATTTTGAGATGTTGCCAGTTTTCACTATACATGTAAACAATGAAACATCTGTTACATCAGGCACAAAATGAAAAGGGCAGAAACATATCGTTTTCTCTTTCTAAATACGAATGTTCCTCATCTTTCCTTCATGCTCTGTAAAAAAAAACAATTGACGTGTCAATGACGTCATACCAAAAATGATAAGGACAAAATAATAGCGTTCTTCTTCTAGTCCGAAACGGTTCTACTACGATTTTTTTTAACCTAAGTATCTAAAAACTTATTATATCGACTATTTATTATTTTTACAATAGAAAAATCCTCCATAGGATCATCCTTTGATACAAATTACGTAAAACAAAAGAGTTGAGATGACATTTCTTACGGGGTACCAGGATACCATAAGCCTAAAGAAGTGTCGCTAGCCGAATGAGTAGGGGCCATGAAACAGATGCGTGGCAAGTTTTTTGTTACAACGAAGGGAAAGAGGCGGGGCGACGATGACAGAGACAACAAATAAAAACTGTAGTGTTCTACATAAACGGGTACGCCTTAAAAAGGCCCCCTACTTGCATTATTCATACGGATGCTAATGGAAATGGCAGGTCTTAAAACTGTAGACGTAAACAATGGGCAACTTTATTGTTTTTGAGAGTCGAGGAAAGCCTGGCGAAGACAATGTTCGCTGATGAAAAATTTGCGACACAAAATTAAAAGGGAGTGTTTGTCGTCAATTAACAAATCCGTTTGCGCATTTTATGTCGAGCGGGACAATAAGGGAAGCCGTAATGTTTTACATTGAGTGTTTGCTCTGTGATATTGACAATACCGTGACAACACAGGGGTTTTATTAACAAATTGCTAAGTAAACAAACTTTGACCGTTTATATACTGAAATTGTAACACAACGCGAATTAATGGCGATATGTATGTTAATATTGGGTTCACCATTTATATCAATATTATGTTTTACACCAGTTTGAGAATTGTGCAATTGTATGCACCGTGAATCTATCTCATTTTCGTCCCAAAGTAAAATGGTATGGTAAAATCTTGGTAATGCAATAGTTTTACAAAGAAATAAAATGTTTGAAACTATAAACTAAATAACTTGTGAACCATTGCAAAAAGTAGATCTTAAAAGCAAGCGCATACGAACTCATAGTAAGTACATTCATTATCAAAACATCACGCCATGTAATTCTCGAAGAGGTGTTTCTCGGCGGGTGGCACGTGCGATGCAAATAGTGCCTACGAATTTACCTCTAGTGTTATAAGTGCATATTTCCATTAAAAAAAATTTTACCTAAAATCACGGCATCTTTATTGTTTTGTTTTTAGTTTATACATCGAAAGTACTCCTTTATGGCAAGTTGTTTTGCCGCGGGACGAAAA